ATTTTGACTTTCATTTATTTTAATTATTTGAAAAAAATAAATTCAACCCATAAAATATGCTTTTTATTATTTAATATAGAAATTAATATTTATTTAATAATAACAGTTAATTTTATTCAACACCAACACACAAATGAATATAACAATAATAATATATTGCTTAATTGACTTTGTTAAACTTAAATACTATATATATATTTATGTATGTATATATGTATGTATGTATTACAAATATCTCCATTTATTAAATTCATGAATCTGATACATATTTATTTATCCATTTATATATATGTGTGTGTATTTCATTTTTAAAAATTAATATTGTATTTTTTTAATTGGGTAATGAATTTTTTTAGATAAAAATTTAGATTACATGATTTTATCTATTTGAACATAAGTTGTTCTACGCAGTGTTCAGAGTTTACGTTCATAATTTTAGATTTTAAGATTTTAAATTTTAAGATTTATGATTGAAATGATAAAGATCGAAAAGTTTTAAATTTTAAACAACTTGTGTATTTAATAATTTTTGATAGAATAATATATATATATATATATTGATTTTGTCTAAGGCCAATTTTACTTTATTTATAATAAGACATAAAATGCGGCTTTTGAGAATCAAATATATCAAGTTTACAAATTTTTTTAAGGTATGATATAAAGATATATATATATATATATATTTGCATAGTTACTTTGATCGCTATTTTTTTGAAGTATTTTAGATTTTAACGTTTTAATTTTGATCAAAACAAACATTTAATTAGTTGACTAATAATCAACACTTATTATTGATGTGATATATTCACATGTACATATTTACTTGAACTAAGGACTTTTTGAACAAAATCCGATACCTAACCACTAAACCAAGCATAGAAGTTGTTATATAATTTATAAAACTAATGTTTATATTAAATGACGGTTGAAATCAATTTTATATATATTTATAAAAGTATATTAATTATAATCCAATTAGTAATTAAACATTATTGAGTTATTTTTATGGTGAGAGAAATTATTTGGAGTTATGTTTGTATTTCAGATGATTCAATTTCGTGAGAAAAAATATTACAAGCTCGAAATCAAAGTAGGTAAGCTCTAATTCAAGATATTAAGGTGAGTGCATTTCAAACTCTAAATGTTCCATAGATTTTCATGATGGTAATGCTTAGCATGACATATTTGGACGTTTATCTTAACATTAAATTAGGAAATAGGAAGAATTAACAAAATATCTCTAGATTTAAATAATGAATATTAGTGGTAAGAAATAAATACTATAGGATATAATTTTAAGAAAATATCCTAAGATTTTAGTAATTAAGGTGAGAAAAAAAAAAGATTAAAAGCTAGAAATCAAAGGAGTAAGCTCGAATTCAGAACATGAAGGTGAGTACATTTCAAACTCTAAATGTTCCACAGATTTTCATAATGGTGATGCTTAGCATGACCTATTTGGACGTTTGTTTTAACATTTGATCAGGAAATAGAAAGAACTAACAAAATATCTCTAGATTTAAACAATGAATATTAGTGGTCAAAAATAAATACTATATCGTATAATTTTAAGAAAATGTCCTAAGATTTTAGTAATTACGAGTTAAACCTTAGTAAAGGACCATAATACCCCCGATTGTAGGAAATGAACAAAATGGCCCTAGTTATAGAAAATGACAAGAAAAGTCAAGATAGCAAAGAAAATGTTATAAGACATTAAGAATTAATTAAGTACTCCATTTATAATATGTAAAATATTTGATATACTCTCGAGTGTGAAAATTATTAAAATGATTTTATGGAGTAAAATGACTAAAAAGCACATGCGATATTATACTTAGCGACCATGAGTGAGACATGATTATTTGTCCAACGACCATACATGATTGTATGTCTATTTGTATAGCGTACATGGTACGCAAGTAACTGATTGTTAATAGCAAGGTACGTCATATGTGACGATGAGATGGGAAAGATTTGACTAGCAGTTATATGTGACGGCTACTTCAATATACGATCACATGTGATGTGGGATTATCAACATACATGAATGAGTATATAGTATCATCTATAGTACCTAAAATTCTATCATCTCATATATTGATAGCATTATGTTTTAGTTATGTAAATAATATATAATTGCGATATTATATTTGAGTGGGTCGTAGCACTTGATGATCAGTAATTAAAAATAGTGCTTCTACAATTATCATAACTTTTGAATATATATATACTACTCCATACACTTTAGTAAATATGTTGAGTCTTTAGATGCTACGTCTAAGGTTTTTATGTTCATATATAACACGTATGCTTATTTTTATGAAACTCACGAAATATAACAGAGTAGATGTGTACTCACTAAATTTTGTTAGCTCAATATTCAAATTATTGACCTTCGCAAGTTATATGTTCAGTGGACTGTGATAAGACAACGATATCATCAGAGGAGTCTCAGTGAAAATACTAAAATATAGTGGTGATAACTTATGCATTTATGTTAAGGTTATGGTTTGTTGTTATTATTCAAGTCGTGTTGTAAATATTTTATATTATTTTATTAAGTGTTTGCTTTTAAAAAAAAGGTTATGATTTTGTAATTTTTATGTTTTTCGTGTTTATTATATTATATTTTAATTTAATTTTTTTTAGTAAATCACATTTTTTCAAGAGTAATGAAGTTTCATATCTCGGTATCGAATGTAGCACTCGCGAATTCGGTGTTGAGTAAAGGTCAGGTTTGAAGTGTTGGATGAAACTTATCATCGATGATTTTTGGACATCATCAATGGTGACCGACAACTACAAGTCTGATGGTCAAAGCAACGATAAACATCAATTATAAGAGGATCAATGATTGTATTTCGAAAGAAAACAATGAGGAAAAGAAGGATAGAGAAAAGAAAATTAAGAAACGAGGAGAATGGATGAAAAAAAGGATTTTTATACCATTCAAAATAATATCGTTTTATTGAGGGATCCAGACCATCTAAAACGATATCGTTTTGGGCTGCTGGACTGAACCAACCCACATCTGCTCACACGTTCGGCCTAAACCCAAGCCAAAGCGTCTTATTTTGGTCCTTTTGCTTTACATAATTTTAATTCTATCATTTCTAGCATGATTTCTTTACTATTTTAATCTATTTAATTTATATTTTGTGTTAATAAAAGAAAAACTTCTAGTTGTGGATTGGACCCTCCGCATGTCTGTATTATTATATTATTAATTATTATTTGTGCTTTTTATTATTATTAACATATATATTTTTCCGCACGTCTGTATTATCATTTTTTAGGAGTGACATTGATTTTTTTTGGAGACAACATAATATTCTTTTGAAAGAATCAATTTTAAGCGCCGTGAAAATGTGATAACTTTCTCCACGTGTTGATTAATGACAATGTCATTCAGTTAACAAGTTCTTTAAAGACTTAGGACTGTTTGATAAAATAAAATGATTAAATGTTAAATGGTTTAACGGTCTGAATGATTTAAATGTTCTGTATAAATTGACTCTGAATGTGACATGTTGTTTGATAATGGTTATGAATGTACAATTTGAATTATGAACATTTTCATTTTTACCTTCATAATGATTTATTATATTATAAAATATGATTGTTTAATAAAACAACATGTGAAAAAATAGGTATTATGGTAAAATATCGGATGCTTAATAATTCAGAATGTACTTTAATGTTGAATCATTCAGCATGTTTTGTTGTTTAATTCAGCATAGTCTTCATTCAGAGGTGAGAATCAAACACGCTGAATGCTGAATGTTGAACACTAAACAGTTCATCATTCACGCTGAATGATTCCATTAAAGAGTAAACAAACGACCCTTTAATATTTTGGAGCCACTACAAAATGGCTTTGACACGTACTATAAACAAGTTTAACAAAGTTGTTGGTATTACAAGTGCCTTTGGTTCATTTATTACTGAAATAATTATCATTTTTGAAAAATTATATGTGTTTGGTTTGTAAATATCTCTTTCACGTTATAATGATATACCAGTGATCGTGTCAACTATTTCAAAATGGTGAAGATGTGTAATTTTCGTCTATTTCTTTAGTATTGGACAGTGTCTAACAGTGGTCCACAATGTTAATACCTTTAAAATAATATGTTTTTTTATTTGAATCATTGTATTTTCTATTTGTCCATTTCATGAATAAACTAAACAAAATTCTCCTAAACTAATTTAACTAATAATTTTTAAGTTTGATAATAAAAATTTTATACTGATTCTTGATCAAATTGTTTACAATGTCAATAATTTAATTAATCATCTTCTCAATTTTGATTTGATTAAATTTATATATAATTGGACAACTTTTACGTATATATGTAAAATTTCTTTATGTAAATTTAATTTTTAAATATAAGATTATTGGTAAAATTTATATAGTTGAAAAAAATATATATGAATTTTTATATAAATATATTTAATTTGGTAATAAAACGTTTTTCTAGTTAAAAATACATATTATTTTAATAAAGTTTACTCCCAATTAATTTTAAGATAAATTATCTATTTAGCTACTCATCTGTCACTTTTGATTATGTTTTAGTCATCAAATTATTATTTTTCAAAATCATATATGACTCTACATTTTGATTATGTTTTAGTCACATATTATTTTTCATATATATGGTGACATGAAAAATCATCACATCATATCACATCAACGTTAATATTAATTTTTTAACGACGAATTATCAAAACAGAACCAAAACGTAACATTATATATGTTTTAAAAGAATAATAATCAAGTGACCAAAATAAAACCAACGTGATAAGTGAATGACTAAATAGATATTTTACCCTTAATTTTATAAAACCAAACAATATGATTCTATATTTTTCTAAATAAATCAAATCAAAGAATATAATAGTCTAATAAGACTATACAATATAAACCAAAACCACTCATATTTTATAATGAGAAATCCATGGCTATAAGAAACAATTAAATAAATAACGAAGACCAAATAAGAAAAGAAAGGGAAGGGCAGGCCAAAACGGAGCTCGAAATCAGCAGCCATGGGACTGATTAAGGTAGCCATCGGAGATGCCTTGTTGACATCGATGTGGGTGTTTTCCATGCCGGTTATGAAGATCTTCACCGCCAAAATAGCCACTTTTCTCGGCGTCCAAGCGCTGCCTCTGGCGGCTCGCTTCATCTCCACAGTCTTGGTCAGCATTCTAGTCATAACTTTCTCCGCCATCGGGGAAAACTTCGGCGGCGCGAGCTTCAACCCCGCCGCTTCCCTCACTTTCCATGCCGCCGGTCTCAGGAAAAACGCCTCCTTCCTCTCCATGGCAGTTCGCTTCCCAGTCCAAGCCGCCGGTGGAGTCGCCGGAGTCAAAGCAGCTCTAGAGTTCATTCCGGTACCATATAGAAAGAACCTGACCGGACCTTCCCTGAAAGTAGATTTACACACCGGCGCCATCGCCGAAGGAGTGTTTACATTTGTCCGAAGCTTTGCTTTGTTGATGATAATATTCAAGGGTCCAAAGAACAACTTGATAAAGCAGTGGTTGGTGTCTGTAACGACGGCGGTTCTGGTGATAACGGGATCCAATTTCACGGGAGCTCCGATGAATCCGGCAAGTGCTTTCGGGTGGGCGTATGTGAATAATCGGCATAATTCTTGGGAACTTTACTATGTTTATTGGATCGGAGCTTTGATCGGGGCGGCTTCCGGTGCCTGGGTTTTCAGATTCTTGGTTTCTCTGCCATCGCCGCCACCAACCAAGCAGAAAAAAGCTTGAATTGTAGGTTAAATTTATTCAGTATTTCGAATAAGATTTATTTCCATTTTTCTTGGATTTCATCTTGTTGGGATTATCTTAGTATGTGGATCTCACAATTATTTTTACTCAACTGCACATCATTAACAACCGTGGTTAGGTAACTTAGATTAAATGAATGGACAAACTATCTATTTAGTCGGCGACATAGTACTTAACTTCCATTTTGATCACTCAACTATTATTTTCTTCAAAATCATATCCTAACATTATATTTTATTTCTATTTTGGCCACCCACCGTTAAAAAAATAACAGTGATATTGGCGTGTCACCATAAAGTAATGTTACATCAATATTGAAAAATAATAAAAATATCATATTAGCATCATTGTTACTTTTTTAGTAACGGATGACCAAAATAAAAATAAAACGTAAAATTAAGTATGATTTTTTTAAAAAAAATATTTTGATAAATAAAAGAAAAACTAAATAATACGTGAATGACCAAATAGATAGTTTACCCTAAACAAATTTAGATAATACAGAAAATAATATTATTCTCATTGTGTATATATAATTTAATTTTAGAAAAGTTACAATTTTTTGTGGTTTAATTTGAGTGTTAAATTAATAATTAAGATAAGATTTGTATTGGTACAATATGATGTGGTCCCTCTTTATGATTTTCAACTAAGTTCTAGTTTACCATTAGTTATTGTTATTAAGTTTTTTTCTACAACTTTAAGATTTTAATTGAAGTGTAAATTTATTATTTATTAAATATTGGTGATTAATTTTTTTTATTATTAAAATGTTGATTATATAATTAAATAATAAAAAAGAATTTTTATGTTGACACTTCAACATTATGAACCAATAGTATTATTAATTTGGCCTAATAATAACACTTTTAAAGAGATCAAGCTCTATTGGAGTAAAGCATAGCAATTGAGTGTAAATATAACATGATAGAGACTAAATAATGAAATTTGATCGTTTTTCCTATGGGTAAATTCTACCATTAGTCATTTAACTTTAGGTTTTGTTTTATTCTAGTCACTGGACTATAAAAGGTTATGATTTTGGAAGTGAACTTTTTGAATTTATTTTTGTCATTGGGTTGTTCAATCTTTAACAATCGGATGATATGATATTTTTTGCCATATCATCTTCTACATTTGTTAAGATTTATTTCTCTCATACGATCACTCAGACACCGACGAATTCATATATTGTCCTCTACCATTGTATTCGTTTAGATTTTTTTTAAATCTCTTTCAAACTCACAAAATTAAACACAAAAAATACTATTTTTTTAATTTGGGAGCTTACTCAAAATTGAGGTGTTTAGGGGTTGGTCTTGAAATTTGAAATGTGATAAGCATTATTCGAAGAAAAACAATATACCTCAACACCAACGTCATCGGATGGCCGTAAGAGGAGATTAAAGCAGTAAAAAGTCAAATATTTAGATGGACTTTGGTTAATTTTGAATAAGTTTCCTGAAATCTAATTTGATGAGAAAAAAATGAGAGCAACGTAAATATTTTGATACTGATCTTATTAAGATTGACGATCGATAATGAACGATGATAGATCGAAAAATGATGAACATTTTAACATTCATAAATCGTTGTTGATGATGGCCTGCTATGCCCAGTCATGTCAAACGGTGGTTGGAATCTTGACAAAATGAGAAAAAAAAAAAAAAGGAAAAGAAAGTTTTATAGGGACTCAAACAAATGTCGTTTTAGTATAAATTTTACTTTTTAAAAAATAATATTGTTTTGATATCGATTGTTATATTATAATGGAATTAACTATTTAACGATCATATGATTAAAATGATAACAATTCAGAACTTGAATGAAAAAATTAAAAGAGTTAAACAATTACTAAAAACCAAAGTAAAAGAAAATTAAGCGATAAGTAGAGAGTAGAGACTCATTAAAAGAAATGTGTTATAAAAAATATTAATATTTTTTAACATTTTCGGTAAAGTATTACCTAAAATATTATTTTTTACTGAAAATGTTAATATTGAGTGATATTTAAAACATTATTTTTTATCAGAAATGTTAATATTAAACGTTACCTAAAACATTATTTTTCTATCAGAAATGTTAATAATAAACGCTACCTAAAATATTATTTTTTATAATAAAATTAGATAAAGAAATTAATATTTTCAATAAGAAATAATGTATTAGATAATTTTTTATTAAAAATATTAAAAAATTATTAATATTTCTGATAATATATTTCTTTAATTATATATTAAAATTTTCGTACATCATAGTTAACCAAGGTTGACCTACCTAACAAAAACGATGCTTAATCAATCAAAAATGCATTTATGATTGCTGCCCTATCGTACTAGTTGAGAATTAAATAAGAAATAAAATCTGAAAAATGTGTGAAGAAATATTGAACAGTACGAATTTAATAAATATCTCTTCTTTTGTCCTTTCTATTGCAAGTGGATCCATATAGTCCAAAACAAATACTCGAAATTCTAAAATAAAATTTAAAAAAATGGTAGATCAATTTAAAATCTTATCAAAAAGCTTACTTTTTTAGTTTTGATTGAGTAATATTTTAGATTAAGACCAATTTTTCATATTTTTTAATAATATTTTTTATTTAACCAAAAATATGATATTGCTCATAACATTTTAGGTTATAAATTTTAAATCCCTCCATGTAACTTTTCGGATTATAATTGAAAATGTGATAAATTTATATAATTTTATAAATTGAACAAAATACAATTTTAAATTAAATTAATATTAAATTGGGTATTCAAATAATACACGCTTTATTTCAATCGAAAATACATACAATACAAGCTCTTGGTAAACCCTTTTTATATTAAAAAGGAAAGAATTGTCCACCTCAATATTTAAACACATTAACCCCGTTTAGAAGTGATATATTTTGCAAAATAAAGAAAATAAAGCAAAAGAAAAGAATTGAGATAAGATGGAAAAAATATATTTTTAATGGATTATGAATAATATTTTTTCAAATTTTGTATTATATATAAATATCAAAGTCTTGATAATAAAGTACATCAAAATCTTAATAATAAAGTATATCAAAATCTTATTTAATATATATATATAGTCATAATTATAAACGACATCTAAAAATAATAAATTTTCATAATACACTCCCTTTGATGTTCACTAAGATGATACATCCTTTTAAAATCTTAATAAAATAAGAATTATGTAAGAAAAAAACCCATCAAGTGGTATCAGTGGTTAAGAATAGTGATATTCTTTCTTAAAAAATTTAAGTTCGAGCAGTTGTGTGTATGATATGTGTAAATTATCAATAATTAAAAATGATTATAAATAAATACTACATTATAAATACCTCAATTTAATAAATAAAAAATACACAGATACTTCGAGACGTGATAGGATCTGTGTTGCTTGTTGAAGTTTATTGTAACCTGTAGGTTCACTCATTACATAAGTCGGTACAAATCTTAATACCTAGAGTTTCATTGCTAACTCAGAAAATAAAATTCAGAAAATTGAGATAAAAGTTTTGACGAATGTGGAGACCATCAAGCAAAAAACACATTATTCCTCTTTATTTCGGTACATAAATAAAATATGATGCGATGCAATGAAAAATGAAAATATCATGCAATAATTTACGTAAGTTTAAACAAAAATTTATATTTAAAAATGTATATATAACTCTTTTTAAGGAGTTATCACATTTCTAATTCTAAGTTTTTACTTGTCATCAAGTAAAAAGTGTCATATAATATTCCGATAAACATAATTTTTTTACATATGTTTCGATAGATGAATGAATAACCTGTAATTTTTTTGTAACTTTTAACTAGTAGAGTTAACTATATGTGAATAGAAGGATAAAAATGAAATGATACTGATTATTTGAAGATTAATATATAATACTTTATAATTTAAAGACCAATTTAAAATATGATTGTAATTTGAAAATTGATATAAAACATTATAAATATTAGGGATCAATTTAAAATGATAGTCATATTTTGAAAACATGTTGTGCAATTATCTCAACTTATATAATATATATATATAATGTTAAATTTAAAACACAGATTAATTAATAAAATATTAAAGAATATTTTTAAAAATAAGAGTAAATATTAATATCAATTTTAAGTTTATTATCATATTATTATATTTATAGTTTTTTTAACATAAAAGGATTTTCTTGTAAGTACTTTACAGTAACTTTTTACGGTCAGAAGGCGTAACTAAAAAATATATTAAAGTTAAAGGATTATTTAGATAATTTAACCAGAAAATAGAATTTGAAGGGTTCTTTTTTGGTTGAAAAGAATTTGAAGGGTTCTTAAAGCTGAGAGGGTTTGTCCGGCAAAAGAAAAAAAACATTTAACAGGAAAAAAGAAGAGAAAGGGGAAAAAAATGGTGTCGTCTGCCAGTTCCCAGCAACGCCAGAAAGAAAGGTATAGCTTTTAATAGTCTTTCAGATTATTTTATTTTCTGAAGAAATTTAGTTTTTTTTCAAGTTAAAATGGTTATTATAAAGTTTCTTTGATAGCGAAAATGAAAGGGATTTTAAGTTATGATTCTTAAGTAAAGACTGAAGTAGTTTTAGATATTCTATGAACAGTGTCGGGAAGGCAACTATTTTCTTATTACTTTCAAATTTTCAAAGATTCCAGTAGACCCACATGTGCAATTTAATAGTCAATGTCTTTTTTAATCACCCTTAACCATATTTTTTGGGAAATTATTCAATAAACCATGAACATGATTTAATGAATGACATGCGATATTAAAGGCTCAGGGTTTAGATTTTAGGGTTTAGGGGATTAATGGTTGTGTACTAGGGATTATGGTTTTAGTGTTTAGAATTTAAGGGTTATGTATTAGGGATTAGGGTTTTAGTTTTTAGAATTTAGGGTTTAGGGTTTAGGATTCTAGTGTTTAGGAAATGAGGTAATATTTAAACATTGTATGTGTAATTAAAATATTTCACTGGCAATGTATCAAGTACTAACCATTCATTTTCTTTCTTTCTTGAAACTGGAATTTTTTCTTGA